GATGACAAATATTGAAGCAGATGCCCGAGCGTATCCTTCGCCCTAAATTCTACTAAAACTTCAATTCGCGTTTGAACTTCGATCTCTGAAACGGATGACTAGAAGAAACGATCATTTGACTTTTTCGCGGCTAACCTTTCGACGTTATTGTCGGCATGGTTATTGCATTTGTTCCGATTCGAATACATAAATCAGGTTTAGTGGTGGATCGAGAGAAAAGAAGGGGGAGAGGGGGGAGGGAAGAGGAAAGGTGAAAGGACAATCGATTCAAGTTTTGGATGCTGCTGTTGCATCGTCATAGTATTTTCGGTAGTCTTCAAAAGCGAACGTAAGAATTCTCAGGCGCGGTATTTTCCTAAATACGAAGAGAGAGAAAGAGAGAGAGAAAGAGAGAGAGAGAGAGAGAGAGAGAGAGAGAGAGAGAGAGAGAGAGAGAGAGAGAGAGAGAGAGAGTATGTCTGCGTATGTGTGTGTTTGAGAAAAAAAGAGAAATAGAGTGAGAAAGAAGAGGCGCGACCACAATGTAGACGCGATGACAAATGGCGCTAGCCATTTCGTAGGGAACACAAAACGAAGGAAGACCTTCTTCTTTTACTATACTCCACTATAACTATACTTTACTATACTATAAGGGACCTATACGGAAAACCTATGTGTCATTCTGATGCTTCTTAAACGCATCGCGCTACGGAACTTCGAAGGGATACGCCCTGATACAAGATTCTTACCGCATTTTATAATAATACATCGGCTCAATTCTTCCGAATAGACGAAGGAGAGGATGCTCTTACACATCGAACAATGTGAGAAAGAACGTAAACGGGGCACAATAGTAAGTATCGAAAAACGAAGAAAAAGAGAGAGAGAGAGAGAGAGAGAGAGAGAGAGAGAGAGAGAGAGAGAGAGCGAGTGAGATTCTCTAGAAAATATCCATCGTACATACATACGTTCACGATTATATTCGCAATGACAAATCGTTATTCCACGAAATCATTGAATATCTTCTCGATTAAAGGATAAGAAAGTTAATTTCGGAGGTTGGCTCGAACAAGAGAGAGGAAAGGGAAATAAGGGGGAGGGATGATGTTTGGGGACTATCCGTGATTTATTTCTACATTATGAACAAAGTCTATCTATAATATTGAACAAGAAAAGTATCTCGATAGTGAATTACTTTTTTATACGATTTTATACGATGACAACGACAACGACGACAACGACGAAGACGATTTTAACTCGAATTCTCAAATAAGAAAATTCGTTTCTTCTGAAAATAACCGATCGGGCGTCTCCAAGATCGCGTAAAAGTCCGTCACTTATTCACCTTCGTCGATCCTCTTTTCTATACCAGTGTGTCACGGAGCTTGAAGCACGACTCGGAAGAATTACGAGTTCACGGGGCGATAAAGTTGGCTCACTGCAACGCCCCAAGTTGAGGCAAACGAACAGATTTCTGTCGGCGGTTAACTTGTTTTATGGGTCGTGCGACCGTCAGGAGTAACGTCCGTGCCTCTTTCTGGTCCATCTGCGCTTTATGGCCCTTTAAGGAATTTTACTTTAAAAAAAGAAATCGCCAATATCAACTATTTCCGATTAGCTAACCGATCGTCCAACCACCACCGACCGATCGGCCACAAATCGAATAAAGATAGAGAGCGAGAGAGGGAGGGGGGAGGAAGTAAGGAAAAAAAAAGAAAAAAAAAAGAAGAAAGAAAAAAGAGAGAAAAAAAAGAAAAATAAAGAAAGCAAATTCATAAATCTTTATTCCGTTAAAGTTCAGATTATATTACGTTATGGATATACATATAATTTTGTCTACACACTTTCATCTTGCTCTAAGCTATCCTATTATTAAGAAATATATGTATGTGTGTGTGTGTGTGTGTGTGTGTGTGTGTGTGTGTGTTTGTTTGTTTGTTTGTGCGTGTGCAAAGAAGATCTGAGGATGTTCACGTGATACTAGACGCGTGTAAAAGGCGATCGAAATATGCGTGGACCGTTCCAGTCGACGTCGATGGGCGTCGTCGAGAGAAGAAGGACGGCGACGCGACGCACGACGTCAGGGTCGAATGTCAAACGACTCGGCGAAGCTTCATCTCCTCTCTTGGAAAGGAGAGAGAGAGAGAAAGAAAAAGAGAAAGAGAAAGAGAAGGAGAGTCCGCGATAGTCGTCGGTCCAAGACCTATTTTACAAGCCAATTCTCTACGAGCTTTACCGGTTATACGTGATGAGGAGGATCGCGAGATAGGAATAAAAAAGCTTGTAAAGGAGAGTTGACAGAAGAGACGAGTCGAAAGGATAGAAAAGAAGAAAGGAAAAGGAGTTTCATGGAAAAGAAAGGAAAAGAGTGAAACAGGAAAAGAAATAGAGAAAGACAGAGAGAGAGAGAGGGAGGGAGAGAGAGAGACAGAGAGAGAGACAGAGAGAGAGAGATAGAGGGAGAGTGAGAGAGAAGGTATGTATGTAAAAGAGAGAGAAAGAGAAAGAGAAAGAGAGAGAGAGAGAGAGAGAGAGAGAGATATGTGCTCCGACAGCATGTGCTCGGGGCGTGGACCAACGCGAAAGAGATATACTGCTTTGCTCGAGTATTTATGGCATATCCGCACTTCCTCTAATACTTGCTTGCTCCTTCCAACCTATGTACGTATAGATACTATACGTATAAGTATCCAAAGGAGCGCGGAATGCGCGAGGAAAGCCATCCCGAATAATTGTTTCTGGAAGTGCGAACGACTCGCTTATTAACACACACGCTCCGCCGTGCTTCTTTCGTTTCTTTACTCTTTTTTTTCTTTTCTTTACTTTTTTTTTCATTTTATTTATTTACTTATTTATTTATTCATTTACTTTTTCCTTCTTTCCTCTTCTTTCCTCTTCTTCCTTCCTTCTTTCTCCTTCCTTTTTTATCTTTTCTATTTTCTTTTTCTTTTTTCTGTTTTTTTTCTTTTTTCTCTCTTTTCTCCATTCGCAAAAACCAACCGCACTTCTTTGAACGATCCATCGAAGAAAAAAAAAAAAGAACTTTGCGCTTTTAGTCGAAACTTAACTGCTTCTCGCTCGAAATTATAGGGGGAGGGGGGAGGGAGGGGTGAAAGAAAAAGAAAAGGAGAAAGATAAAAAGAAATATTATAAAACGGATGAAAAAAATTAATTCGATGATTGAAAACAAAAAAAAAGAGAGAGAGAGAGAGAGAGAGAGAGAGAGAAGAAAAATAAAGTATACACGAAATAAGAACGAATCAAAGGAGAGATGAGTTTACAATGAAAGTTAAGTGAAAATCTGAGGAGAGCCCTGAGGAAAAAATGATTGTACGTTCTTTTTTCTCTCCTTTTTTTCCCTTTTTTTTTCTTCTCTCCCTCTCTCTCTCTCTCTCTCTCTCTCTCTCTCTTTCTTTTTTCTTTTTTTACCTGACGATCGAGTTGAAAAGAAGTAATTAAAGGAGCGAGCGAAAGATAATCGAGTACGAGGTGACTTTGCACGACCAGATTTTGTTTTATTTCGCACAATTTCCTATCCTTCTCTCTCTCTCTCTCTCTCTCTCTCTCTTTCTCTGCGTTAGTCGCGTCGCCTGACTTCTTCATCCGTACGATGATAAATCGTCGACGAAGGCAACGTACGTTGGTGCGATGTAACAAATAGTGCTGAAACATGCGCGCTCCGGCTCGGGCGTAATTTCACTCCGTTCGATATATCCACTGAGATTTATGTATCTTCGCTTGGTCTATGAAATCGTTAAACTCGGACTCAAGAATACGTACCCATGAACATATATAAGTAAGTACTTACATACGTACTTACGTATGTACATAAGTATGTATATATACATATGTATGTATGTATGTATATACTATCTCTAATCTCGCGAGTCAAACGTTTCGCTTCTCTCTTTCTTCCGTTTCTTTTTTCCTTGTTTACTTTTTTCCTTCTTTTCTCTCTCTCTCTCTCTCTCTCTCTCTAAACCAATCACGATTACAAGATTCATTGTGTTGTAACGACGAGAAAGAAGAATAGATAAGAAATAGATAAAAAGAAAAACGATGAAAGAAACGCATTTCTACTTCCGATAGAATTTTTACGTTGGAGTTTTAATTGATCCTACATAATGTTCGTAATTAACTCGTTATTAATTGATTTGATTTAACATTAGGCCCAATGATCTCGTATTTCAATGGTATCAGTTAAAATAATATGATACATGTATGTAGTAATAAAGAAAAAAAAAAAAAAAAGTAAAATAAATAAATAAAAAAAGAAAACAAAGAAATTTAATTTATATATATATATATATATGAACATGTACTTATAACGATCTTACGTTTAATTTTACATACATGTATATGCATATGTAAATACGTACGTACGTATATACGTCGAAGGAGTAATATTAAGTTTACTACTAGAAATTGTCAAAGAAAAACGAGACGGTTTCTTAGGACTTAGAAACCATCCAACAAGGAGGGACTCCGACAACGACGTAGCGTTGATTCTTAGGAGCAGCCATTCTTCCACGGTAATGATTACCGAGTACTTGCCATACATGGCTTAGAAACGAGCAGGGTGACACATTCATTACTGAGAGTTTAATAGACCTCTTCGACTCGTTCCCCCTTCATCTCTAAGAGCATTTCTTGCAGGTATCAAAGTAACGCTTACACTCTGACTACTTATGTACGACGTAGATATATATATACACCAGTGCGCACGTCTATTTTCCTTCTTCTTCATTTATTCGTTCTTTTTTTCTTATTTTCTTTCTTGTTTTTCTTTTTTTTTTGTTCCTTTTTACTCTTTCTTTCTTATTTTTTTTTTTTTTTTTTTTTTTTTTTTTTTTTTTTTTTTTTACGTTACGCTCATTCGTGAGAAAAGTTTCGTCCTCTTTTATACAATAAAACGATCACATTATGTTCGACGAAGGGATAAAGTTCTCAGATTTTCTTTCTCTTCTTGTTGTTTTATTGTTGTTGCCGTTGCTGTCGTTGTTTTTGTTGTTGTTGTTGTTGTTGTTGTTGTTGTTGTTGTTGTTGTTGTTGTTGTTGTTGTTGTTGCGTCAGACAAACACAACATTGCGTCGAAAAGCAATTTTGTGGTAAAACACCTGCGCGTGAAAATATCTCGAGAGAAGAAGAAGAAGAAAAAAAGAAAAGATAAGAATAGTCTCGCAATACCGATAGATGTACCTATATATTTCTCTCTTTCTCTTTCTTTCTTTCTTTTTTTCTCTCAAAAGGAAAATGTAAGGTCTTTTTTCCCTTTTTTCTTCTTCTTTAAAAGATCGGCCCAATAAAGGGTCCCAGTACGAGTTAGACCAAGGCAATTAGTATCGGATGACGATAGGACCGTTTCTTCTCTCTGTATGTAGCAACCTGCGTAAAACGGGCCCGCGGCTTTCTCTACGGGGTGCAACCTGTACGCTTCTCTTGTAAAGATCAAAAAAGGGCGGCCCTTCTCATTCAACTGGCCACGCAGGACACTAATAGCTCGCCTTCTCGTTTCATTCAGGATGAACCGTCGGGGATCCGATTCATGCCTTAAACTTCGTTCATTCGATGCTACCAAAAAAAAAAAAAAAAAAAAAAAAAAAAAGAAAAAGATCGTGGTTTCTTTTTCTATTGTTATCATTATTTCACAGTTGTAAAAATTTTCAAATCGAAAAATATGAACGATCTGAAAATTATAACAAAGCGAGATGATCGATCGTATACGCGATTTTTTTTATCATATCGATGATCACAGATAATTAAATATAAAATGTTATAAGTAGATTATTTTTTCTCTCTTTTTTATTTTTTTATTTTTTTTTTTTTTTTTTCTTATTTTTTTCCTTTAACTTTCCTCTCTCACGTATGTAAGATATCTACCAATACCATTTTCATCGTATGACTTGGCCCATGGGTATTATTTATCGTGGTCCACGAACACAACGATCACCCTTGGGATTCGAGTAGACTGCGGATTTGCTCGGTCAATAAATATCATTCGTTCCGATACTCGAGGCAAAAGGGCCCTCGGGCCGGCATGCTTCGGCACAGTGTGTAACTAAACCGAAGGGCTGCTTACCACCATGTGTTTGTCTTCCTGCCAATATGGATCCGCCCTTTGCCCTTGCCTCGTTTTCTTCTTTCATAAACGATCCGAGCTACATCTCGATTTCTCTTTCTCTATTCGGTAGGACCGATCGAAGTGGAATTTCGTAACGCGTTTGATTAGTTGTAATTTTTTTACGATTTCGATTTTTCTCCTTTCTTCTTTTTCTTTTTTATCTATTTGCTGGCAAAGCACTCATAGATCGGACTCTTATTACATTTAATCAAATTTGCGCGTACATTAAAGAAGTTGGAAAAACCCTTCGAAAGATAAAAAGAAAAAAAAAAAAAAAAAAAAAAAAGAAAAAAAAAAGAAGAAGAAAAGAGAAAAAAGGAAGAAAAAGAGAAAAGACACGTTCGATTTGAAACAACAAAATTACTAAGAAAATCATCAATGAGTGATCGAATTTTCGATCAACGCGATTCCAAGATCGGAATCGAAGAAATACATCCTTTTTGACTTTAGACACTTTTACGATCAACCACCAACCAGGTTGACCCCACTCTCATAGCGGAATCGTCTTTCGCTTGAGATAAACGTAACGATTGGCGAGGATGGAGGGTCGAATCCCTCTCGCTCGAGGGACCCTCGAAAACCCGTTTCCATCATTGAAGAAAGGAAAGAAAGAGAGAAACAGAACCAGAGCCAGAGAGATAGAGAGAGAGAGAAAGAGAGTGAGAGAGAAAGAGAGAAAGAAAGAGTGGGAAGATAGAAAGGAAGGATAAGTGGGCAGTACTGGATAAAATCGTAGCAGCATGGTTGGTGCTTGACGCGTGCTGGACGCTTGAGAAAATGGTCGACGATAAAGCGGACATTCGGAAGAAGAAGAGGAAGAGGAGGAGGAGGAAAAAGAGGAAGTAGAGGAAGAAGAAAAAGAAGAAGAATAAGAGATAGCGATGACCGTCACCACTTTATTCCAAAGAAAAGCTCCGAACCCATTTCCTGTGTTTGGCTTCGGACCTTTTCTTCTATTGACCATAAAGTTAATACATCCGTATGGCTATAACGATTAGGGTATCTTTCGATACTATTCCCCCCTCCCCTCTCCCCTTCTCATTGCCCCACAGCGTTCCTCTTTTGTACATTCTCCCTCTTCTCTCTCTCTCTCTCTCTCTCTCTCTCTCTCTCTCTCTCTTTCTTTCTTTCTCTTTCCTATCTATATACTAACTACAGAACTACTTTTGCCATTGTTAAATACAAAGACGGGATATTCACGAAAACTTTCTGACAAATTGGTCGCGTGTCGACTAACATAGGGATCCATTATGGATCTCAAAGATACTTAAAAGCGGAAGGAAACTGTAACCAGTTCGATGTACTTAACGAGTACGTTGATGAATCGCTATCGGAATTGAGTAAAAACGTTTTCGAGGGAGGCAATAATTTTGATCGACAAAAAGTAGAGAAAGAGAGGGAGTGAGAGAGAGAGAGAGAGAAAGAAAGATGGAATTCGCGAGAGAAATATCGAGTTGAGCTCCTCGTTCGGCAGGTCATAAAGATAAATAGTTAGCCAGCAAATTTACACAATTTGCGGCTGGTCGATGTGGATACATGAAAGAGAAAGAGAAAGAGAAAAAGAGAGAGAGAGAGAGAGAGAAAGAGAGAGGGAGAGACAGAGAAAAAGAGAAAGAGAAAGAGAGAGAAGACGAAGGCGGAGGTAAGATAGGAAGGAAAGAGGCAATCTGAGGAAATTGGCAAGAGCGACGAACCAATTTCCGAAAGAGGCCCGCAAACACCGGGCCAGGGGTCAGTCGGGGTGAGGGTTAATCGTCGATAAAACGAGCCTCGTTAACGCGCCTCGTTGCTGTACAACCCTCTCGCTAAAAGAGGAAGAGAAAAAAGAGAAAGAGAAAGAGAAAGAGAGAGAGAGAGAGAAAGAGAGAGAGAGACTTGCGACCTTCCAAGCTTGACACGTCTTCGTACATTCAACGCTACCGGTAAGACCAAACCTTTCCGTTAAAATCGACTTTACGTTGGTATATTATGCGTCCACGTTCTTCTCCTCCGATTTAATGGCTGATCGAGCTTGGAAAGTTTTATAGACATACCTAGCGAGAATATACCACCGAGAATTATATAAAGTTTATGATCGTTATCAAGTCGATGATTCCTTCTTCTACGGAAGGTGTCTCATTAAAAGCTCCAATATCTTTATCCATGATCGCTATTAGAAAAGCTATCGCGCTTATAAATCCAACGGTTTTAATGAAAATAAAATCGAGAAACTATTTCGTTCATCGCGTACACGTTTCGCTTTGAAATTTCACGCGGCTCCCTTTTCTACCGTGGGTTATATACAATGTCGCTATTTCGTACCGCAAATTACACCGTGGAGAATTTTAAATTCGTAAGACACCAGATATCGCATTCCGCTCGTAATCTCGCCGAGAGCTATTCTTGGCAAAGACCAGGACGACTTCGACTCGCCATAATGCACGTATCGCGAAGAAAGAAGAAGAAGAAGAAGAGAAAGAGAAAGAGAAAGAAAGAAAGAAAGAAAGAAAGAGAGAGAGAGAAAGAGAAAAAAGAAAGAAAGGGAGAAAGAATATTTGAGAGAGTCCGAAAACGTAATTTTGCTCTCTCTCTTTCTCTCCCCCTCCTTTCTGAGGGACCACCGGCTGCCTCGGTTCTGTAGGACGATTAACATTCCCAAAGCAATTGCACCCACGACGACGCGCCCGGGCCAAGCAAGCAATTGCTTTTCTGGAACGTCTGCCGATGCTCTGAAGCTCCGAGAGGAATCCTCTTGCTATCCTTATGTTTGAAAATAGCGCCCTCAGATGGCAGCAGCGATCGATACTACCAAGAAAGAATGGAAGCCATCGCCGAAGATATTGTAGACCAAATATCCAAGAGAGAATTTCTTTCTCGTTGAGAATACGTAATCTTTTTTCGATTGAACGTAATAATTATGTTGTGTTATACGAAATAAGATCGAACGAAATGTTCGTAAATTTTTCTTTTTATACGTAAAAAGATTTATTCGATGAAAAAAAAAAAAGAGAAGAAGAAAAAAAAAAAAGAAAAAGAAAAAGAAGAAACAAAAAAATAATATAAAGAAAAAAATGTTAATTATTGTAATATATTTACTGCATATAATATAATATAATATAATATAATATATATATATATATATATATATATATATATATATATGTTTGTAGATGTGCGTGCGATCGTAGAAAAAAACGAAAAGAAATACACAGATTGAATGGAGAAAGAGAAAAAAAAAAAAAGAAAAAAAGAGAAAAGAAAAATGAGAAAGATGAATAAAAAAAAGGGGGGAGGGGGAATAAATTTTTTGTTTAATCAAAGACAAAGTCCTATCGGATAAGTGACAATCAACGATCTGAAATTAAAGAAATAAGAGATTGGAAAGGTACTCGTTTTATTTTCAAACGGAAACGGAGATTCCAAAGCCGCGAGTAGAGTGGTCTCGCGGGAAGGAAAGAAGAAAATTGAGGAAGGAGAGGGCGCAGGATAGGGAGAGGGGTTGAAAGAGAAAGCCTATCAAGAAAGACATAACGAAGAGGAGGAAAGAAAGAGAGAGAGATAGAGAGATAGAGAGAGAGAAAGAGAGAAAAAGAACGAGAGAAATAGATAGAGAGAAAAAGAGAAAAAGAGAAAAAGAAAAAAATAGAGAGAGCAAAAGAGAGAGAGAGAGAGAGAGAGAATGCGGGATCGTGGTCGTTCGTTCTTGATTCGCGCGGAGATTTTTGTCGCCGAGTGTCGCTATCGGGCGGCCTCATCAACCGGATTACAGGCTTCGCTCGTGTTCGCGGTACCGTAGTCGAGAGTCGCGTGGATAGGCGGAGAAGCACGGAGGAGAGTAGGTACGCGAATACTATGGAAACCAAGTAAGTACCCTTCTTCCTACCTTCGAAGCCTGACACGAACTAAAACTAAACGGAAAAGAAACGAACACGAGTCTATTTGCTAACAAATGTCATTCTTCTTCTTATCTCACCTTCAAACGATATAAATAAGAGACATCAAATGAGCTTGTATCAATCATCATTGTTTTCTATCCTTTCGATCAACGATATAATCTATTCTATTTTTCTTTTTGTTTTTTTTTTTTTCGTTTTTTTATCTTCTATCATCTAATTAGTTTGTTTGTCCTTTGACATAAAGGATGAGAAACACATAGTACGTAACGTATACTATAATTTTAACTTATGTAAATAATAATGTTATATGTGTTATATTACATTTTTATATCTAATACGCTATATACTATACATATACATATATATATATATATATATATCATACATTTATATATTTATTTAAATGATCCATTCGTATTGAATTAGTTTATAGTTTCCAAGAAGGTATCATTTTATCGGAAAGGAGTACAAAATTTTCATTATACGGATAATAAAAATATTGTCAATAAAAACTGGGTAAAAAAACTTACATAATCAATTAAATATTAATAATCAATATAAAAAAATTCTTTTTC